GTACCAAAATTTAACCTTTGCTAGATAATGTTAAATCGGTTTTTGAATTAATTCTAGGATAACATGAAAAATAGTATACATTTTAGGCTTGAATAGTCCCGCAGAGAAGCACACTCGGACCTTCGGTCCTCGGTGCTCTCAGCTCATTTTAAAGGCAAGCAATATAGCATACATTTTTCATTATCTTGTTTGGGATTAAAACATAGCCAGAGCATTAACAAAAACTACGTACACCTTAATGTTGGAAATCCAAATTTAGGTGTAAGGAGATTAAGTTAACAGAATTTAGCTTTAGCTTAATTTAGAGCCTGAATTCGATATATGATTAAATATATCTAGAAGAATTTGTAAAGGGGTAAAGAACCTATTCTGAATACATTTACGGAATTCTGTCTCAAATCCCTTCTTTATGCACTACTACTCTCATTAAAAAAATAAATAAACTATTAAAAAAGTAAATAAGATTTGAAATATTCTAGTTTGCATAATAATAAAATTTTTTTCTATTCAGTTAATTTGATTGGTTAGTGATCATTCTTGGATTGACATAAAGAAATTTCTGAAACCATTAGATTAGCATTCTATTACCATAAATGGTGTGATCAGCACTTATATTTATAGTATATTAATTATTGTGAAAAATAATTACTGATTGCCTATAACATAACCCGATTTAGAAATGATTGATTCTTTGAACTTATCGTTATAATACATCAAAATAGAGCTCCAATCTGGATATATCATTTATTATATCTAATTTATCGTTTATCATATCATTTTTTCGGATATCCGTTTACTATTGATATTTGACAGATATTCGGATAATTATCCGGATATCAATAGTAAATGGATAATAAATAATATCCGAATAAATTTAGATCTGGATATTTGATAATTATCCAGTTAAATGCTAATTGGATTGGAACTCTATATCAAAAAGAAGAACAAGTGACTTATTTTATTGCTAATAATTGGCGAAAACAAAGAAATAAAATATGATATCGAAATTATATTTTGTATAATTTTATTTAATTTTACTCTCTAAGGCCTTTCTCAAGCATCTAAATCAATTGATTAAAGAATAATCGTGATGACGCTCAAGCATCACAATCAATCGCGATATTTATAGAATTAAATGCTTGAGCATACTCTTTTTCTATTTTTCTTGATCTTCGTTATGCTGCCTAAAACGTCTAAAAAAATCCAATAAAAAAACTTCTGTTCAACCGACTGCCGAATCTTCAGCTTCGGTTATGTCAGCTTCTCTCTTTAATGTTTTACCAATATTAACCTTTTGCTGCAACAGCAGCAACTTATGGAATCATTAGCGAAAGTTGCTTTGTATCAACAAGAAATAAAAAAAAATTTATTAAGTTTATATGAGTGAAAAATGAAATAGCAGTATTCATTACAGTTTGGTTAAATATTAAAAGATGGGTTGTATTAATTATGTTCATATCAAGATGTCGATTATTTGTTTTAAAAGCTTTGAGCATTAAAAATAAAGTAGCTATTTTTTTAGACCGGTTTGAAATTTGTTGTGTGAATTCATTGTTTATTATGTTTGATATGCTAAAATATAAAAGTAGTGCTTGAGCGATCTTTATTAATAGTAAATTTTTGGAGATAAAAGATGATTTGTATCTCGTTGATTGTTGATCGAATTGGTAATTCACTTGATTGATTTATTTAATTTCTGACTAATTAAAAATTTACGTCCGATTCATTGAGTGAGGTGCTTGAGAACGGCCTAAGTCACATGCTTGCTGCAAAACCTCTTATATTTATTTCATAATTAGAAAGATTAAATAAGGAGTGTCTCTAAATAACATTATATAAAAGGGGTAGGGTTCTTATACTGTATACATAATTTTTTTAATAGGTGATGAAGAGAACAAAAATAAAAATAGATAATGTAATTTTTTATAAACTAAAAGGGTTAATTCATGACTAGCCTGAATTTGAATTCGCATTAATTTAATTCTTGAAGACAACTCTTGATCGTTTTCCAAAATGCATCAGCACTTGATTTCTTATTTTCATCAATTTCACGCTCTTGATTGTATATTAGTTGAACTTTATCTATTATACAATTAGATGTATATCATTTGTTTTTCACAAGCAACGTAAAATGTACCAAGTTATGCCTCAAATGAGTCTGCATGAAGCCACTATTAAGGTCAATACTGCGTATTTATATTTTAAATACATACGGTGCAAATTCTATATCTCCAAGTGTAGAGGTGGTTAAACCATCTAATGCTGTGTCAAAATATGACTACAATAAATGATAGTTGTAGCAAATTTTGGACGACATCACTGGTGAAATATTATTGGATTTTAATGTACAATAAGCACTATTCCATGAGTTATATAAAAATACATTAGTTCATATTATAATTAAGATACAGTATAGTATAAATTTAAGTGAATACTTACGATTTCATTTTTGCAGCACATGGAAGACTACAGGGTTCGACGGATGAGACATAAGAGAGGGTCACAGACAGCATACTGTTCGAGAGGTCAAAGACAAAGCAAGCAACGTACTATAATATGTACTGAGATAGACCTCAAATGAGTTTGCATAAAGCTTTTTTATTTTTTTGATCCGTTCATGCAGAATGAGCGTTATTCCATTTACAAGCAATGTAAAATGCGCCAGGTAGGCCTCAAATGAGTTTGCATGAAGCCTTCTTATTTTTTGAAAAGTCATCTTGTTCTGTTCATGCAGACTGAGCATTATGCCACAGGCTCTTGCGATATTACATCCTATGGCAACATTTAATATTCAAGTTCAGAAGTTATAGAAATGCTGTCTCAATTCATACTATTTAAGCATTAACCAATTAAAAAGTTGATATCTAAGTTACTTACTTCCTTTTCATTAGAAGTTTCTTCTAAACGTAACTTCTGTTAATTAAGTATTTAGTGTGTTGTGGCAAAAAAAAGTGTCAGTTCTATGATCGTAAACCAATTATATTTAGAGATTAGGTGCAACAAAACACAATCAGGAAAAAATGTTCACTTTGCCAAAAATCGCCATTTCTCAAAAATACGTAATTATGTAACAACTTACGTTTATGAATTCAATGATATTTGAATCTTAAATGTCCAGAGCATCCATGATCCTTATTGCTATTGATTTCGATCGTTTCAGGAGATTGGGATTGTTGTTGACATTTGTAAGCAGTAATTGAGTTTGTAGTGATAATGATTGTGCTTGTGGATAAATAGAAGAAAAAATTTGGTAGAATGACTATATTATTGTTAATAATTTAATTTATACTTAAGGTTTTCTACGATATTTTCTTGATAAATATTCTATATTATAATTGATCTTTTCTTTGTTTCGAAGGTCAATTTTATAAATCTATTCATTTTTTTGCTGAATAAATTGAGGACTAGAACACAACTAAAATATTAATTATATCACTTGAATAGATTAACGAAGGAAGTGTACTCAAACAGTGGGTGTGGTCATCTGGAGAAAAAAAATAAATAGAAAAAAGCAAATAGAATTAACATTTATTAGATTAAGTAATACAAATATATTAAAAAATAGTGAATTAGCACGCAATCGTCTGATGACAACACCAGGAAAGTACAAAACCATACAAGGTTTTTACAAGCCTATGGATAACGCATTAGCAATTTTAATTTATATCGATTTATGTGACAACACCAGGAAGGTACGAAACCAAACAAGGCTTTACAATCCTGCTAAATGATAAAATAATATATATATCTTTAGCAAAAAACTTCAAAGAGATGAATTAATATTATCAAAAGAGCACTAATAAAAATATCATACTAGCGCTAGAAAGTTAATTTATCAACATAGAAAAAAAGTTTATGTCGCGTAAATAATTTTCATCAGATGTGATTGGTCAAGTGCAAATGTTCCACAAAATTTGATATCTGATACAGGGCCAATAATTTACTATTTTGGTTAAGACCAAATTCTGTTTTCGGTTAAGAAAAATTCTGTGATGTCATGTGCTGTTTTTTAAATGTATTCTG